AGTGCAGAATGTAAGTTTTATTGGCTAAAATCTCTTCTGTGTCATGAAATATATATGTGTAGGAGAAACCCTCTTGAATAGAGAGATCAGGGATAAATCCCAACCATTCTTAAGACTGAGTGATCAAGACCCTGGTTAATTTTGATTTGCAAGGGGTGTTTTCTGACAAACTGTCCTTGCTATAAAGATTGTGTATCTCAGCTCTGTGTTAATGAAAGACGATTTGGGAAAGCTATTTCTGCAGAAAGCCTCCCTTTCACTTCCCATTTTACAAGGGCTGCTATGCCTTACTATTTCCACCTTTGTCTTCATTCAGTCTGTGAATGCAGAAGGTGAGGACTGAAATGATGGTTCTTAGAGCTCCATCCCATCTGGGCCACAGTTTCCTGAAGTTTCCTACTCACCTTCACTCAGTGAGGCTCAGAAAATTGAGGCTTTTTTAAATGGGGTAGGTTGCTGGAGGCACATGTCCTCAGTGTGGGAATATGCTGGAGGAAGCATGTGGGTTCTGATTTGTTGGTCTAGTTCTGCCTCCTTGGGCCTGTTCTGCGGTCACCTTCCTGTTGGACCTGATTTTTCCAATGTAGATTCTCATCTATGCATGTCTCCCTGACACACTCCCCCAGTCCTGGGCATGTACTGCTCATTCCCAAGAGTCTTATCATATAGGATCGTCAGCCGCTCCTTGTTTTCTTCTGACTACTTTATGCCATGCTCATATATCCCCAGTCAGTGGTGAGCAGTTTTCCTTGACATTACCTGTCACCTTTTCTACCTTTACCCCATTTAAGTGTTGGGTATTTCCCTCAGAAAATGCTCTCTCATGTGGAGATGGTACTCCTTTTTACGCAAATTGAAAACAGGAGATTTGGAGCCAGGAGTCACAGTGACAGTTTGATACCCTGGAAATGACGTGCTTTGGCTTGTTGAAATGCATGCCTCACTCCCGTTTGTCACTGCCATTTAGTCTTGGTTGGCCCACTTCTGCTTCTCTACCCTCCCCTTTTTGTGCCCCATATGGGCTTCCCAGACCACCTGCTTCATCCCACATTGCTTCTGCCATGCCCTGGACCTTGTCTTCAAAGGCTTGGACTTGATCATCACATTGAGCTTGGCCTCTTTAAACAAGTAAGCACACTGCTTAAGGAGAGCCGATATCTTCCATGTCTACATCTGCCTACTTTGGAGGCCACTGATCATGCTACTCCCAGTTCTCATCACTCATCCTGGGCCTCCTGATCACAGTAGATTTCATCTCCATTTCTATAATCAACTTTATCACTGCTCTTGCTCTCATTTTGGCCACCAAACTTACCAGAGAAGGACACTTTACCTGTCTCACATGGCCCAGTACAAGGTGGGTTCCACTGTGACTATCTTTCTATTTTTTCAGCGTGCTTCTCTATATTCCTTGGCTTCCCAATTTATACCTCTCATTCCTCAAAGATCACTTGCCACCATATAAGGTGAAAGCTATGAAGTGAGAATTCCCACGTCTCTCAATACCTGCGTTTTCAATAGGGCTGCCCATTATGATCACCTAAGGACACTTAAAAAACCAATCACCTTGCCAGGCATGGTGGCATCCACCTATAATCCCAGCAATCTGGGAGGCTGAGCCAGGAGGATCAAGTTCTAGCCCAGCCTGGGCAATTTAGGCCCTGTGACAAAAAAAATATAAAAAGGCTGGAGATACAGCTCAGTGCAAAGCCCCTGGGTTTAATTTCCAGTATCCCACCACCATCACACACAAAAGCATGTGGCACATGCCTGTAATCCTAACTAATCAGAAGGACAATGCCAGAGTATCAAAAGTTCAAGACTAGCTGGGCTAACACAGTGAGACCCTGTCTCAAAAGTAAAGGGCTGGGGGTGTAGCTCAGTCATAGAACATCACATTAGGCTTTGGGTGCAATCCCTAATATGAAAACAAAACACTTCAAAAACAATCAATCACTGTGTGCCACTCCCTAGAGATTTTGGGTGACATAGCTGGAGTACAGCCTGGGCATTAGGATTTTTAACCACTTAACAGTTTACCCTGGGTGTAACTCTGGCAGTGCCTTTGTTTATGTATTGACTATCCAGAGTGTTTCTTGGGCAGGTATCATTTCAACCAATTGATTCTTGTGTTGTTTGTGCTCACTTCAGCAGCACATATACTAAAGATTCTTGTGTTGAATAAATTTGATAAAATTGTCATTTTTATATTTCCTGTTATAAACAACCAAAATATGCAATTTTTGGTTATCCTGGGGTTTTTTTGTTTGTTTGTTTGTTTGTTTGTTTGTTTTTTTCTTTTTTGAGGCAGGGTCTCCCTATGCAGGTCAGGATGGCCTTAAGCTCACTTGTAGCCCAGGCAGGTCTTGAACTCACAACGATCTTCCTGCCTTAGCCTCCCAAGTGCTGGGATTACAGGCTGCACCGTCACGCCTGGCATAGTTATCCTGTATTTAAATAATTGGACTGGTAGGTGGTTAGGGCTCTTAAGATGATTGTTGCCCAGTTGAGGTTGAAACCCATGGTTTTTGTTAAGAAATTTTTGTGGTTTTATTTTAGCATAAGAAAGAAACCAATGTGAACGAAGCAGTATTTGAGTGGTAAGGCAGCTGCTTTCCCCTTCACATCTTTGGGTTACTATAGCAACCCTGTCAGTGTATTAAAAATAATAATAAAAGGGAAAGCTTTTGCATTATTTAAGTCTTTCCAAGGCATGCACTGCTACAACACAGACTTCTCCCGTCAAATGCAACTACTGTAGCATCCAAACATCATGCACAACACTGCGGTGGCGGCAGCGTGCTGCACCACTTCCACCACAGCCCTGCTCACTTGTATGTGATATTTGGAGCCTCTGGAGGAGTGCCTGGCTGGCAGGAGGTCAGCAGAAGCTGTGCAGGGCAAGCCCGAGCATACCATAGTAGGAACATCTGGTGGAACCACATGATGGGGTCTTCATTGGCCTTGAGCTGGCCCACACCATGCTGATGCAGCTATCTGGCGGAGGCTGATGGTCCAACGCCATGATGCTGTGCTGGATTTTCAGGAATGGAGGCTAGACAACTTCTCCACAATGCAGCTTTCCCCTGGAACTACTGTCCTTCCCACATAAGGCATGATGGGTGGATCAACGCAAATTGAGCCTAGTTGTATTCTGCCCTTATCAAATAACTGGTAATAATGTTGAACAAAGCTGAATTCAATCTGCTCCCAAATTATCTTGTCTCCCATTCTGGAGTGTCACCCGGTATCACTGAAAACCATGTGGGCTCTGGAAGGAGCCAGGTGCAATTGCCCATCCCTGGGTCTTCGCAGAAGAATGGCAGGCCAAGGGCCTAGGGTCTGCCCACTGTATCTGGTCTGCAGAGGTGGCAAGATTCAAGCAAGCCAGGCCAAATGCAGCAGAGCCCTAAAAGCCCCATTCAATGGTCAGAACCAGAAAAAAAGAAGTCTGGCCACAGCGCAGGCCCCAACACAGGCCAGCACACCAACCATGGTACTGTACGGTCCAGATAGACACCTGTCTGGCTCTCAGCATTCTCCACGGCTGCCGCCTCCAAGGACTGGCAGGAGGCCTGAAACCCATTGTTTCTGAGGCTCTGTCTCGTTCATTGTTCCTTATCAGGAGAGTCACAGGGGCCCCCTTGCAGGCTGACCTCTCTCTGGCCTTGGTTGTGTTCTGTACTCTCTCCCGTTCCCAATTCCCTCCCAGGACCTTGACCCCCAGTGCATTGTCTAGCATCTGCACTCTCTTCCTGTTTAGCCTCTAGTTAAGAACACACAGGTCTTGACTTAAAATCCCAATGAGAATGAGCAAACTATAACCACAGACAATATAGCATCTTATAAACATGATGTTGAAAGTACACAAGAAACCAGCATACATTGCATGACTCCATCATATAGTCCAAAAGGAAACAAAACAAGTTGGGGTCGTTATAACCTAGGATAAGTCCAAGAGATGGAGGGTGGGAGAAGGAGGGAAAGAGAACTGAAAAACAATTAAGATGTGTTATTTACATGTACCATTTCTCTATGTGATCATTATGTGTTGCAAACATAGGGAGAATTTACCTTTGGTGGTTGCAGTAGGGGGTGCTAGGAACTAGGAGAAGACTTAGGGTGCATGCAACATTCTATTTCTTAATCTAGATGCTGTTATGTGCAGTGTGTCCAGCACGTGGGAGTACAGTGAGCTGTACCTTTATGGTCTGTGTGTTTTTCTCAATGTATATAGTTGAACAAATACATAAACGACAGTTCAGCCTGTCCTGTATTATTACGTGCTGTACTGCACGACACTCGTTTATGTTAATGTGGCCCACCATTTTGGAGATGAGCTTGGACGTCATCACTCACTGCCAAGCGTAATTCTGCTGTAGTGCTGTTTGGGAAGTGCATTTACAGGCTGGCGTCCCTCTTGGGGAAAGATTACCGCCTTCCTGAGGGTCCGTGTAAACTGAAGCTCATAAGAACTCGTAATCTGCTCACAGACTTGCTGTAGGAGGAATCACCACCACGACCCTACAGAAGTCAGAATGGACAACGTTCAGAATGAAGTGAAACATCAGAATGAAGCGAAACATCAGGAGTACCCCAAACGGCAGAGTAAACAACTGCCTTTTTAAGTGAGATATGCAACAAATCCATGCATCCTATGAGGGCCGTAAAGTTCTTGTAAGTAATGAAAGCGTTTAAGAGGCTCCAATTGTATCGTAAATTTAGTTTAGCAAAAGTGCCTCGAAGACCCAAATTGCATAAAACATAGTACCCCAAAAGGAACGTCATGTAATGTGGGATATGTAGTTTTGGATGCCGTGAGGCATTCCCCAAATCCTTCGGAATTGGTAAGGAAAAATAAAGCCCTGGGCAACGAGACCGAGCTGAGAGCTCAGGACGCGCAGGGTTAGGGTTTGATTGCCGAGAGACAGAGTTTGATGCCTCCCTGGCGCCAATCTCCTAGGCTGGGAGGCGGGCGCGCGACGATGACGTCATCTGCCCGCGCCAGCGCCTGGGTTTCCCTGGCAACCGGTGGGCCCAAGGCACAGCCTGAGAGATGCTACCCCGTCGTCCGCGCGATCCCCTGCAAGTAGTGCGGCGGCGCAGTCAGGAGCTGAAGCTACAGGTATGTTGGGCCTTGCAGCCAGGGACCTGGGCCTGAGAGGGGCCGGCTCTGCGGCGGGCGGGAGGTGGGGCGCAGCTGCACACACAGAGCCTTCCTCCCGTGACCGTAGGCCTCTGGGAAGCTGCATCCAACCTACCCGTCTCCCGGGTTGTAAGGATCCTCCCCGCAGCCCCCGCGCCTGACGCAGATTCGAACCCCGGCTGCTTCCAACCCAACCCCTACGCACTGGCGAAACCGCCAGAAAATCGTGAGGACCACTGACACCCTCCTCCCTAAGAACGGAGCCTCCGATCGCGATAGTTCCCCTCATCTCTCAGCCGGAACTCAGCAGCAGCCACCCGGAGCTTCACCGCCCACGCTCCCCGCCTGTCACTGCTGCTTAGACTCAGGAGGAAGTGTCGAGGAGTGGTCTTAGTACGTACGAACATTAAGATCTGTCAAAGTGAACCGAGGACGTCAACTAAAGAGGAAACACAAGTAACCTGTAAACACGAGAGAACAGTTAATTTCCAAAGATAACTAATCGCAAAGGAGATGAGATATCACAAACTTAAAAGTCACAGTACTCAGTCCTGGGGACGATGACTAAACAGACACTTAACATTTGCTATCCCTGTGTGTGAGGTACAGCATTTCTGGAAATCAGTTTGACAGAATGCAGCAAATGTTCACTATCCTCAGCTGGGCAATCACATTTCCAAGAATCTACTGTGTGAAATAATTAAAAACAGGGGCAAAGATCTACGGGTAAAAATATTCATCACATTACTGCTTATAGTAGAAGAAATACTGTGCTTAAATGATCAGTAATAGAGAAATGGATAAATAACTTAGGGATAGAATAATCCCGTGACTAAAATTTGTTAAAGAAACTTAATGTATAGGGATATATGATAAAATAGCAAGTTAGAGATATACAATGGGATACACAATATTTCAGTAACATACATATGTTGTGCGTGTGTGTGTATGTGTGTATACATTTATATATATGATCTAGAAGGAAACATACTAAAATGGTACCTGTGTGTTTAAATACTAGGTTATTTTTCTTGCTTGTGTATATTTTCAGAGCACTGAGTGCTTATTTTAAAAGTAAGAAAAAAGTAAATAGTAATGGACTGTTCACTTATTTTTTGAAATATGTTTTTCACTTTACTATTTGTACTTTTTAAAAGTATGGTTCACCACATATTTTTCCACTAAATAAAAATATTAGGTGTTCTTTGACAGATAAGAGATATTCTCATGTTCATATTCTATGCTGTGGGGCTAGGGATATAGCTCAGTGGCATAAGCGCTTGCCTGGCAAGCGCAACGTCGAGAGTTCAATCCCCGGTACCGCAAAAAAAATCAAAAAAACAAACAAACAAAAATAAACTTCACATAACATATTTTATGCTGTTTAAACTCTTGTTTAAAAGTTCCAGATTTAAATGTTTTCACACTTGCCTAGGTTCCATCTCTAGCATCATAAGAAAGAAAAAAAATTTAACTATTTTCACCATAAAGAAATAATACATGTTTGAGGAGATAGATAAGATTAACCTCATTCAAACATTGCACAATGTATATGTGTACTGAAATGTCATTTGTTCCCCATAAATACATATAATTTTGGGGTTTTTGTATCAGTTAAAAATAAATTAAATTGAAAAAAGTATAAAAAACTTGACATAAATTTTAGTGACTTTGGAAGATAAAATTTAATGAATTATACTGACTTTAGAATCATAGGGTGCAACAAAAACAAAATACTACTGAGAAATACAAGTAAAATTTGATGGGGCACTGACTTCTGCTAGACTAATATGGTTCTTACTAATTTTAAATGTAGTGAGACATTAGAAGAACCAGGACTAGTTTCAGAAGTAAACCATAAAAATAATTATTAAAGCAAATACAACAGACTATTGAAAGAATTATTTAATGTGGATCAAATTGAATCAGGAGCATTTTAACACTTTGAGTATCTGGAAAGGACATTTTGATAGTATTACCTAATTTTTTACTATCTCCACAACAGACATCTGAAGCAAAAAAAAAAAAAAAATGCATATCCAACTCAGTGGCCATGCACAAGGAATCCACTTCCTGTTTTGGGCATGCCTGTGCTGACTGGCCCCATCACTGGGGGTATGATTTTGTAAATAACACTCAGGTGGATGCCAAATAGGAGGCACAGAGAAGAGGCTAGTGAAATTTTCTCTTTTTTCATGCATTGTCTTTTCATGTAATCTGTAGACAGAAACCAGAGATGTGCCTCTTTTGTGGTATACTGACAAAAGTGTACATATGATACATGTAGTGCTTGTAAAATACTAAGTCAAGATAAAGTCATGGTACACTTGATACAATGAATTCTACTCAGTAATAAGGAAGGAACTAACACAATAATATAGAAGTATCTCAGAAACATGGTACTGTGGAAATTTTTTGGGGTTTTTTTGCAGTACCGGGGATTGAACTCTTGACCTTGAGCTTGCCAAGCAAGCACTTATGCCACTGAGCTATATCCCCATCCCCACAGCGTAAAATATTCATTCAAAAATATATACTGAGTGAGTCCATTTATATCAAAGGTTAAGAACAGCCAAAGTTAATTTATGGTGGAAAAAAATCAGAACAGGTTTGTCTCTGGAAGAATGGGACAGAGATTTGCTGGGAAAGATACTTTCTAAGGTAATTTCCTATTTCTTCATAGGAATTTAGATTATGTAAGCATATGCATTTGTCAAAATGTGACAAAGGTACACTTTAGACTTGTCATCTGGCGTGTAAATATAGCAAATATTGAACCCTAGTTACCCCCAATTCATTATTTAGGCAGAGGTGTATTGATGACTGCTATTTACTTTGAAATGCAGATAAAATAAGATGGATTGATGGCTGGATAGAACAAATAGGCGTAGTAAAATGTCCAGGGTAGAATGTAGTTATGGGTAGATGAATTTTTGCTGTAAAATTCTTTCAACTTTATTATTGTATGTTTCAAACTATTCAATATACTAGAGATAAAAAGAGAAGTAAAATTTTATTTCCTAAGGTGATGTTTTAAATTGTCTGCATCTGCCATAGGTTGATAGTTTGCTTTCTGAAAGCCAACTGAAAGGAGCTCTAGAACCCAATAAAAGGCAAGAGATTTACCAAAGGTAAAGTATGCTAAGTTATACGAGCTTTCTAGGAACTGTGCTTACATTTCAATGAGTAGTATTTAAGGCACTGAAATTGTTTCAAGCTTTCTTTCTTTCTTCTTTTTTCTCTTTCCTCCCCTCCTTTTCTTTCTTCCTTTTTATTTATACAATTTCCAGAAAGACAAATGGAAATAATATTGACCTAACAGTGAATGAAATTTTCCAAAATGTATTTTAAAATACGCTTTTCAGATCATATGAAGCTAATGGGTAGAAAAGCACTTAAATGTGAATTTTTAAACATTATTCATGCAATAGCTCATTGCCTTGCCTGCCTAGAGTGTGTGAAGAATTTTATAAAATAGCTTTCCAGTTCTGACAATAGTAAACCAGTGTGTTTTCTTTCTTTTTAAAAATGTAGATGTATCCAGTTAAAACAGGCAATAGATGAAAATAAAACCACTCTTCAAAAATTAACGAAGGTAAGCATTACAGCTAATCGCATCACAAAAAATCTCTTATTCAAATCTTTTCGCCAAGCAGGAGTGAAGTGCAGATGGTGAGGCCCTGGGCTGGCGTTAGGGAGGGAGTCTCACCACACACATGCCGAGCTGTGGGGCAGAAACGCCACAGTTGTGGATACTGAAAAAGAACCCAGCTCTGATGAGTCACCCAGCACCAAGAACTCAGGAAATCCCAAAGAAGCTATTTTTAAAAGCTGTATAAGGTCCAGGGCTACTGTTTAGAACTGTTTCTATTGGAGTCCCATCATGGGGAGAGAGCATACAGTCCGGTCCTGATGTGAGTGGTGACAAAGTCCCAGTATCACGTGGCAGTAGCTCTAGTGTCAGTGACTCTGCAGAGACAGGAGGAACGAGAGTCCGCCCTCAGTGACCCCTGAAGGGTCCTTTGTGTTTGAGCCGGACCTTCAACTAGGTGTCCAGGGCTGCACCCCTACAGAGACTCAGGGTAGAAGGCGCCCGAAGTCATCTCCCTCCCTGCATCTGAATCCTTCTCACCAAATCTCGGCGTCGCTTCTGCATTTCTCCAGGGACACAGAAGATTCCAACTTAGGAGGCAGATGGACCCTAAATTTGAAACCTTCATTGTTCTTTGTTTCAGAGATCAGGTCTTCCCATCAATAAGTGGCAGAATTCGGGACTGGCCCCTGTCATTCTGGCTGTAAAGCCAGTCTTCTGTCACAACTCATCCCTTACTGTCTAGGGAGCATCAGCAATCCTTAGCGCGAAAGGAAAGAAAAATCCCAAACAAGTGGTGCTGTAGTTCTCATTTGGTTTGCATTTGAACTCAGCCATATTTCTTTAACTCACTTATTTCTGCAAGGTCAGTGTCATTTCACAGTGATTTTTATTTTGCCTTATAGCACTTAGAGAAGTTTTGGGTTTATTCTTTTAAAATAAATGTGATTAGGGAAGTGGAATGAATGCCTCAGTGAACTAGAGCCATGTTCTCTCATAGGCCGATGAAGCTGCACCTGTCGGGAACTATAATCAGAGGAAGGAGGAGGAGCAGACCCTCCTGGACAAGCTTACCCACCAGCTGCAGGAGCTCGCTGTGACCATAAGTAAAGAAAATACGACCAAGTATGCCTCCTCCCCTCCTTTCTTTAGATTATTTTTTAAAAGTCGTTTTTAGTACTAGAGATTGAATGCAGGGCTTTGGCACCGAGCTACATCCCCAGGCTGTTTTTTAAATTTTCTGTTCTGAGACAGGATCTCACTAAGCTGCCCAGTCTTAACTTGTGACCCTCCTGCCTCAGCCTGCTAGAGTGCCAGAATTATAGGTGTGCATCACCATGCCCAGCACCACCAGTTTTTATATTTGATTTAGGATAACAGTGTAGAATAAAAAAAATGACAGTAACCATATAACCAGTCCACATTTATTTATTATGTATAATGGAATGCATTAGAGCCCATGAGAGTTATAAAGAAGCATAAATTGTAGTCTCTACCTTCATGTAACTTATAATCTAGTTAGGGACACAAAGCAGATCTGAAAAGGATAATGCCCTTAATGTCACTATCGATGTGTAAAAGGTAAAACGATTTGGATTATTTGCATAGTCTTTTGGTAGGTGTTCTTTAAAAATGGAAGCAAAAACATCCATTGTTTTTCTACTAGAGAGACTATTAATAATAGATTTTGCAAACTGCAAAAAGATTTTTATGTATAAACAAACCCAATGTCTAGGGAGCCCCCCCAAAACTCAATTAATATTCATATTCTGTAAATGCAATTCCCAACTTTTTACATTGCACCCTGGAAAAAACACTAAAGGATATATATGCAAGGATTCTAGAATTTCCACTGACTCCCAGGATGAGGACAATAAAATAGCTGGTACTACACTTACTTCCTACCACAAACAACCCTAAAGTCTGGGCAGAATATCAAAGCAGCTGTCTGCAGGCATCACTCACCAGCTGAGCAGGGCTCATATCCTGGTGTGGGGAGAGACAGGGTGAGGCCTGCGTTCACCCACGCTTTCTCCCTGGGATAACGGATAGGCTCTGATGCACGAAGGTGGACCCTAAGCAGGGAATAAGCAGTCTCACTGACTGAGGAGCGGAGGCCCCTGGGACTACAGAGCAAGGTGCTGTCAGGAGAAGGGAGTTGAAGAGAGACGACTCCAGAATCTTTTCATGGATTCAACTTCCCATAGTGAATTATTGCAAATATTTAAGAAAAAGATAATACCACTGTTGCAAAATCTTCCTAGAGAATAGAAAAAGAATCCAGATCATTTTATGAGCAATTGGATAACATTAATATCAAATCCTGACAAAAAGCACTACAAGAAAATCCCGAGACTCTCATGAATGGTGGCACTCGCTCAGTATGGGAATATTAGCAGATCGAATCCAGAGGCAAATCAGGTGGAGGATACATCATGACCAAGTAGAATTTATTCCAGAATGTGTGGATGGTTTGACATTAAGGAGCTGATGATTAAAATTCACCATATCAACATTAATGGAAGTGAAAAGACATGCCAATTTCCTGTTATCCTTGGCAACATTTTAGAGTAACTGACCCATGTAAAATATGTGCGGAATATCTGTTCAAGAAAGGGACATATTGAAAGTCAATATGCTTTAGCTTATGGATTGTTGTTGTTGTGGTATAAAAGTTATTTTTTATTCAATCTTTGTTTATGTTTAGGTCAGTACTGTATGAGAGGCTTACACCTATTTTAAACAGTGATGGTGTACCTTTTAGCGCTTTCAGTGATAATAAACAACCTGCTGCAGCATGCATGCCGTAGCTTTGCCACCCTGCTCTAGATCATAGAACATCTTACTAGTTAGATGTTCTTTTGCATTAGTTTTAAGTATCATTAGCCCCATTCGGTTTAAGTTTAAAGCTAAATTGAAAGGGAACGCACTCCACCCACCTCTTCTTGGCCTTATCTTAGGTTCTTACCCTGACCCTTGCCCTACCATTTGTGAGCTACCTAACATTCCCTGGCCTTGATCTTCCTTTCTCCTCTCCCTCTGCCTTCTTTCTACTCTTTTTTGTTTTTGTTTTTGTTTTTTTGCCTAATTCCAACTCATCCTGAAGACCTAATTCTAAGTCTTTTCTGATCCCCCATGCAGCCTGGTTTAATGTCTCTCCTGTATGATTCCTTAGCATCATGGGCATATTTCTACTGTAGTACCTGTTGAGCTGTACTCAAATTGTCTGTTTCCTTGCCCTCCACAACATAAGCTTCTTTAGCATAGGTTCCACCTTTGCATCCCTTGTGTCTCACGTGGAACCTGACATGCAACATAATTATCGTCATAACTGACTTGGATGGAAAGCTTACTATTGGCAGGCATTGTTCTGAACACTTAGCAGGTTGTAGTTCTTCTAATTCTTATGACCACTATAGGGAAGAGGATCTGTTATTATCTTGACTTTACCAATGAGAAATAGAGAGCTTATCAGAAACCTACCAGGGTCATCCAAGGAAGAGAAGATAGAACCAGAATTTAAACCCACTACCTGAGTGCTAAGTACTATAATGTTGCTCAAGAAATATTTGCTGAATGGATGATTCAGGATTTGAATAGGATTCCTGGGTTTGAGTCTAATTCATGTTCTACCATCTCACATGCCTTGTTCAGATATATGTCTACCCTCGGTCCTTCAGGGCACCTGCTCAGCTGGATGGTGGAAACTATTAGTCGTACTTTCCCCTTATTTATTTACCAGTTCTAAATATAGAGCAGTTCTTCTGCATACAGTAATTCTGCTCATACTTGGTCTGTTCTTGTATGTTGTTTCAAATGGCCCTAGTCACAGAAATGCTTTTTGTAGGACTGGTGCACATATTGAAAAAGAAAAGGATGATGAGTCTACTGAAGAAGAACAAGATGATGAGGACGAGGAGGATGAGGAGGATGAGGAGGAGGATGATGGAGAAGACAGTGAAGAAAGTAGTGGAGGGGAAGAAGAATCAGAAGAGGAGGAAGAGCAACAGGGAGATGAATCTGTTAAGCAAGCAGCAAATAAAGAATACATTGCTCTTGGAGATTTTACTGCTCAGCAAGCTGGAGATCTTACATTTCAGGTGAGTAGAAGAAATCAGAAACCTAATCTAAGAGCAGCTGTGCACACTTAGTAAACTAAGAAAACTCTGCCTGTACACCTGTATTGGGGGGAGGGTTGGAACTGCTTTCTGCTAGCAAAATGAGTCAGAGAAATGTTAATGAATGTATAAACTGTGGTCCTTATGTTTATTTATTACAAGCTTAATAACATTGCTAATAAGATACGCAACAATATTATAGAAGTAATACACTTTAATTCATAGGATTTATTTTAAGATTCTCTCAGAAGATGCCATTAACATTAGACAATAATGTATGTTCTAATAAAGTCTTTGCTTTTGAATTATCTTCAGTAGTAGAAATTCTTTGTTTTTCCAAGTTGGATTACATTTTTATTCATGGACAAGTATTATTCAAAATGTTAATTAGTGGATAGATATATTGAATAAATACAATTTTTGCTTCAGAATAGGATTTAACTTTTAACACAATTGATTTTCTTCAGGCATTTATATGCTGCATCTGAAAGATACTCTACAAAGAGATTCACAAATTCAAAGACATTTTATATATTAATCCAATTATTGGAATAAGTATGGGGCCTTGAAAATAACTATGAAAAGTGGTTCCCCTCTGCACATATGATTCAAATGTGTGTTAAGCAACCAAGTGGAATTATTTATTTATAGTTATTTTTATATTCATGTAGGCTTAGGGTAGAGTGGTAGGGAAACTTTCAATAAAATTTAGGATGAGCAACAGATTAGAAAAATACTTTACCTTTATTCCAATATGTATTTTTTGTTTTTTGGTTTTTGGTTTTTGTTTGGTTTTTTTCCAGTACCAGGAATTGAACTCACGACCCCGCACTTGCCAGGCAGGCGCTGTGCCGCTGAGCTAAATCCCCAGCCCTTTCCAATATATATTTTGAAGCATTAGTAATGAAGTAATATTCATGTCTATTGAGTTTTCCTTTAAAATTTTTATTTTATTTTGCTTTAAGAAAGGGGAAATTCTCCTTATAATTGAAAAAAAGCCTGATGGTTGGTGGATAGCTAAGAATGCCAAAGGAAATGAAGGTCTTATTCCCAGAACCTACCTGGAGGTGAGTCTTTGTTGTTTATGCTTTCCATTCTCCTTCAACTATTTTCATTTTTAATAAAACATTAAGTTATATTCCTTGATCAATTCATTGATTAGTGAATGAGCTGAGATACAGAATTTGCTTTAATTTTAGAGACAGAGTAAGGAAAACTAGCTATGTAATAATGGGTCTGGGTTCTGTGAAATGCTGTTATGCATGTGAGCCCTGGAACATTTTCACCATGAAGCTTTGTAAGTTAATGCTGTTCATAGCAAGATATTTATTAGCATTGTAAAACACAACCAGTTAACTTTGTGTTAACTTGCAGTTACTGTAATAGCCTTACTACCTTCTCTAACACTGTTGATCATGACTTTCTAATTTGAGTAACACTTTTAGCAACACTAGCTTCTTTATACAAATCTTTTCTCTGTAGTACTGTCAAATTGATGGATTTCCACATGCTGTACATATAAGTGAGAATGGTCACATGAACACCACTCTCATATTTCTCCACAATTTCCTTCTTCTTTTCAGTTGTGATTGCTTTCTTCACCTTCCCTTCCTTCCTAAGCTTCTGTTGTAGCTTTCTGGGGGCCATTTTGATAGCAGTAATCATACCAATCATATAAAGCACTGATAGAAATCACATCCACAAACATGTGCATCTGGGCTCAGACTGATGGTTACTTATGTTTACTTACACTTTTCTGGTATCATGAGTCTTTGTTTACATCCATGTAAGCAGCCAGCATTCAGGTCATAACTCAAGACTTAGGTCATAAATTCAACTTAAAATTCCGGTTGTAACCCAAGATGTTCGTATGTAAGGCCGGTTGTAACATAAGGGTCCACCATATATCATCACCCCCTTACTCAAATGTGAATGTATGGTACATGCATATTTTAGCCTATTTTTATTATTTCCTAATATAGCACAAGCATTTTCTGTGCCAAGTAACTCTGTCTGAGTTGGTGCTGTCCAAGAGAATTGAAATGCATACCACATATGGAATTTTAAATCTTGCAGTAACCACATTGAGGGGTCTTTTTTCTTGACACACCTCTGATACCACATGTGAGATTTTTCTCTGACACCAAAAATACATGTCACTTCCACATCAGTTCTCCCACACCGAGCAGGTACCCAACAATTCAGTTAGGTCTGACACTAACTCCTGAAGCTCAGACTCCACAGTACTGCAAGACTGTACCAGGTTCCAATGCCACACATAAATTCCAGAAGCTGTCAGTTCTTCAGAACGAGTGTTGATAAATTCAGGAGACCCCTCCACCTATCTGCAGGGTTCTGAAATTCACTGTGATGATTCACAGAACTCAGGAAAACACTTTACAGTTTGTCCTCTACATCCAAGGATTTCGGATCTATACATTCAACTAACATCATGTCAAAAATATTTGAGGAAATAAATTGGGTCTATACTGAATATGTACAAACTTTTTTCTTGTCATTATTCCCTAAGCCATACAATATAACAATCATTTACATATGTTTGCATTGTGTTAGGTATAATAAGAAATGAGAGATGATTCAAAGTATGCAGGTTATGTGCAAATACTGTACCATTTTATATGAGACTTGAGCATCTTTGAGTTTTGGTTTTCCTGAGGGGTCCTGGAACGGATCTCTTGAGGGTACTGAGGAAAGATTGTACTTGCACTTACCAGTTACATTGCATTTAGCTGTACTTACTCAGGTACAGCTAAATAGAAAAGATGCATAGGGCAAGTATTGGGGTAGGTTGGCTGGCACGCCATCTCTGGGCATGGCACCCTCCTGGTATCTTGATGTGTTCACCAGCCCAGAAGATCCCAGGGAGTTTCCACTTAGTGTAATTGATTTCAGTTCATTGCATGAGTTAAACCATTGACCATGGGTGATTCAGCCAATCTCCAACTCCTCTGCTTCCCCAAAGGTCAGAGTGTGGGGCTGAGTGTTTCAGTGTCTAATCCCATGGCTTGTTCCTCTAGCAACCATTCCTCTCCCTGAAACTGTTTATAGACCATCTAGAGTTGCCTTGTTAGCATAAACACTGGTATGGTTGAAAGGAACCCGTTATGGATGAGAAAACACTCATATCATTCAGGAAATTCCGAGGGTTTGTGTCTGCCAGGAACAGAGCAAGACCAAATGTCTATTTCTTGTTACCCACATTAAAAAAAAGTAAAATGAAATACATACAGTTGTTCCTAATAATGTATTTTATACTATCTAGTATATCAGAAATGCAATTTCAACATACAATCAATATTTTAAAGTATTGAGCTATTTTACTTCTTACATTAAGTTCAAAGGCCAGTGTGTGGTTTATATTTACAGCACCTCTCAATCTAGACTAAAATGTAAAGCTCAGTAGCCTCATGCAGTAAAGGGCTGCTGGATCGCACAAGACAGGTCTGCATCATGTTTCGAGAAGTAGCAAGTATTCTGGTCTCATTTAGGCACACATTTAGGTTGTGCCCAACCTATAATCACTATTATGTTGCAAAGAAGCTGCCCTGTGGGTTACAGAGGATTCTCCCCCAGAAGTGGCTGACCTAAGGGAGGAACCCACTTCTCTCCAGAGTAGAAGTGTGAAGATAGACAATCAAGCACTGGGTAAGGCCCTATCTGATATTCAATTCTGTAGCTACATGTGAGGCAGCTCTTGCTATGAAGTCCACTGCTGGATCTTTTAATGATTCTGTACCATGAAAGGGAAAAAGGGAAGGAGCCAAAGAGCATAATCGTTACCCTCATTAAGTTTCCAGAAGCTACACAAAAAACTTCCAGTTATATCTCATTGAGCAGCATCAGATTCCGTGGCAACACCTAGCAGCTGCCAGGAAGACTTTAGGTGGTGCACTGCTGAAGTGGGGGATTCTGCTAGTGAGGAAGGTGTGGAGACCAGGTCTCAGCCAACCAGCCACCTCTGTTTTGATCAGACTTGCTTAATTATTCCTCTTACGTAAATTCCTAGATACTTGCCACTGCCTCAGTGGATTTACACCTTTATATCTTGATTTATTTGGCCAATTTCTTTTCCTACATCCAACATCTGAGTGTTTCCCCATACATATGCCAGTGCTAACTGTAATTAATCTTTTTAATTTTTTGCCTGTGTGATTGGCAAAAATAGTCGTGTTTAAGTGCATTCATTATACTCCCACGAAGGTTGAGTGACATATGTTTTGTGACCATTTATATTTCTTCTCTTGAATTGCCTTTTTGGGTCTTTTAGCCATTTTTCTAGGGAATTTCTAGGGATCTTTTTCTCACTGATTTATAAGACCTTCTGTAATATTTTAATAATAGAAATATTAACCCTTAGAAATTTGTTTTAGTTTTTTTCCATTGACTTTCAGCTATATGTGTTTTTCATTAACTAAATCTGTCAGTGTTTCACTTGTTTTTGGTTTGGGTATCATAACTGGAAAGGGTTTCTTCATCCCAAGGTTACTTGCTTCTAATACTTTTATATTTCTTTTATTCCGACCTTAACTTTTTCTTTTGGATAAATCCGATCCAGGTTTATTTTGGTTAAAACTCGTCATCTGCCTCGGTCTTTGCCATTTTATCAAGTGGTGAAATTATTGACTACACGCTAAATACTTTTTTCCCTATTGTATTCTAAACTCCCTTCTATGCTTGAGACTTTCTGAAAGTACTAGGATTTTTATTGATTGGCTTTTACATTTGTTGAAAAGCACTTTGTATTTCAATGACTTTCCAGCCCTATAATAAAGAAAAAGAAGAGCAAGAATCAAGTGACGAGGACAGCGAGGAGGATGTGGAGGTGGTAGATGAAACAGCAGATGGAACTGAAGTTAAGCAAAGGTATGGGGTGAGAGAAGATACCAAAGTAGCTTTGGGAAACTTTTTACTTTGCTGTTATAAATGACTCAAGACTTTCCTTCTTTTTTCTGGTGCTGGGGTTGAGCTCAGAGCCTCGTGCATACTAGGCAAGTGCTCTACCACTGAGCTACATCCCTTCAAAACTTTCTTGAAATGAAGACAACTTATACTTGAGCGCTTTTCCTATTATTGTTTGTATAGAGGTCATTACTGCTTTAATTTTCTAGTTAACATTTAGGTCATTTAGCTGTAGCTTGGTTTCATTGAGAAACTGTTCAGTTTTCAGAACTTACCGACAATGATGTCCTCTGTTCTTTGATGACTTCGGCTCCCTAATTGAGTGAATGGGCATAACCTGTCGCTTGCTATTTTGTCTCCCCAGAACTGATTCCCATTGGAGTGCTGTTCGAAAAGCTATCTCAGAGGTTAGTATCTCCCGCCTTATTGATGATGTCTCATATTTCAGGTCTTATTATCTATTTGATGGGTGAGATGTATTTGGTGTCTTGTTTTTGTATCATTACAGAATAGCTCTGATTGAGTTCAGATTCAAAATAGGATGGAGATTTGAAAAGAGAGTGTAGGTTGTAGATAGCATTCAAGGCCTGGAATGGATATAAAGAATGAGGCACGTATTTCTGGGTCAGTAAATTCATGTTCCATGTAATGTTTCTCAATAGATTTTTTGCACAAAAAATCTATAGATAACCTGATTCATGGTATGATTTGAGGGCTTAGAATTATTGTCATTGATCCTACCAGAATTTTCTGTCATTTTGTTGAAGAGTAAGTTTCATTTCATGTACTGTTTGAAAAATCTGACAAACTTAGAAATTACCTATAATCCTATCATTTAAAAAATTAGAGACCAAAATGAAAATCCTCCCTTAAGTAATCACTATTTGCAGGTTAGTAGGTATTCTTCCTGACCTTTCACACCATGTTTTACTTATAAGGACATGCGTGTGTGTGTGTGTGTGTGTGTGTGTGTGTGTGTGTATTCACATACACAAACCACCCTTAATTCTTCAGTGTGTTTAGTCACCATGTTCACCCCTTTGGTAAATGGCCATGCATGGTGGAGCAGAGCAGAGGGGTCCACTTTGCTAAAGGTCTATCTTGAAGCAGCCGGTCTAGAACAGAGCTCAATATCCTGCAAACCCATGAGGCTGAGGCCCTTGGGAAGGGCAGGATTCAGGGATGGACCTTGCTTTCAGGAGTTGGGCACCACTTTGCAGTATCTTTCCCTTATGGCAGTGAACAAGCATGAACAAAAGCAAGCGGATTCATTTTGTTTCTGCTCCCTTCAGCAGATAAACACCGTCGACGCGCTGACCATGATGGGGGCCATCCCCACAGGCTTCCGGCCCTCCACGCTCTCCCAGCTGCTGGAGGAAGGTGACGTGGGTTAAGCAGTCAGGGTGGGAGTATAATTTTTCTGTCAGAGCCAGCACAAGTTGAGGAAGATGCTAAATCTCACCCTTCACTGGCACTCACTCATCTTCTCCTTGTCCTCCCGTGACAGCAAAGACCCGAGCCTGTCAGAGGCCGTCTGAGCAGCTGCGCTCTGGGCTCCTGCCTCTGTCTTTTCCCCAAAAACATGACTCTGTGCGTTATCAGCCCTTCCCGGTGTCTTTAGTCTGCTCTTGCACCGCTTCCTCTGTGGCTCATTTCCCCCTTCGGTCCCTCCAGCGCACCTCACACCACCGCCTTTAAGAACCAGCCCCCAGGCCTAGCCCCTTCTGCCAAAGACTCCCTTTATCTGCGCCTCTTTGCAGAGAGACTTTTCCGGATTTCTCTCCATCGGGCACTTCTGATTCCTTATTCAGTCTGGCATTTCCCAGTAGCTGGCAACTCATGGCTATAAGCTCCTTTAGAGTGGAATCTTGCAGGGCAGGGTGTCTCCGGTCTACCTGACTGCTCAGTTATCCACAGAAGGGATGCGCTGAGGTGGCCTCTGCTGGAAAGGTTCTTCCCGACACTCCCTAAAATGCCTATCCCCGCTGCCAGTCTCCCGGTAAATCCCACCTTACAAGGAGAAGGGCCTTTGTGATGTCTGTCCCCCTACTGCCTTTCACCCGGGCACCCTTTCCTTTACTCTGTGATCAGCTAATGAGGGCAGGGAACACATTTGTCTCATTCCCTGTTCTAGTTCCAGCTCCTAGCATAGCAACTTGGCCCAGAGCAGGGACTCTAAAACTATTTGTTGAATTAATAAGTGATTTTATAAGAAGTATTCTTCATAGCTAAACTATGGAAGAAAAGGGTAAAAATGCTTTTGTGTTATGTGGAATCAGTGATTATTATTTTTTTCCAAAATCTCCAAAATGCTCATGGATTTCTGCATCTTACAAAAAGATTTGAATGAACCATCTTCATGATGAGGCATGTTATTGACTTTAAATTCTTTAAGATCTTTCTGTAAACTGCCTGATCTCCATTTATTTCTTTAAATTTTGTTTTGTTTCAATAAGTATGGGCTGAACATCTGTCTCAGAAAGCAAGTTCTTAGTAAGCAGTTTGGCATTTTGGAAGTTTCTGTTTCCTAAGTTTATAGCACCAGACAGTAAAGTGGATGTTGGGTTTTGAATGCTATTCCTCTTTTTTGCAAGAAAATCAAGGAAAGAAATATTTTTACAGGGAATCAATTTCGAGCAAGTTACTTCTTACAGCCAGAGCTCACGGCGTCGCAGCTGGCCTTCAGAGATCTAGTGTGGGATGCCAAATCGGGCACTGTAAGTGTAGTTACGATTAGTAAATACAAGTAACATGGGAATGGATGCACTACAGAAACCAAAGGATTGTTTCTATATTGGAATTTTTTAATGTGATGTTTTCATAGGTAAGGTAAAACTTGGACCTGGCGCCTCAACTTTATCTTGTTTCTCTTCTCTACTGCTCTCTCTCCCATTGTTACAAAGGGAAAACGCTGTTTCGATCCTAATCATTCTTTACCTGTTTCTTCATCTATAAAAATGCAGCTAGCCATACTTCCCGTCGAGAGTTGCCCTGGGAATGATTTCATATGGACAGGCTTAGGACCATGCCTGACATGTCATAAATGTTGGTGGCTGTCCCCATTGTCCCTGTGTGTTGCCAGCCCGTGAGCGGGGCCTAGTGGGAAGACGTGGGTTGCAGAGATGTGCCCTTGAGAGGATAGTGAGACCCCAGCCCCTACCCCGCTCCCTTTTGCTTCCTGGCCACCTTCATGGGCTGCCTCAACACAGTGCCTAGGGCAGTGAGGCCAGCTGACCAGGACAGAAAGCAGGAGCTGAAACAGACATTTCCTGTTCCTTAAAGTTGATGGTCTCAGATATTTGTTACAGCAACGGAAAGCCGACCGACACAGCAAGTGTCATCATCAGTCATACGGTTTTAATACTGTTAATTAAATATGAAGAAGGAAGCAGCAGAACTTTATGATTATACTTTTTGGGGTAGGACTAAGAGTAAAGGACTCTTGCTGCCTCAGTATTCAGAGTGTAAAATATTCTTGATATTTCGTTCTACTTTATATCCACATTAGAACACATCACTGCCCTCCTGTCCCTCTTCTCCTTCCCTGCCTCCCTTTCCCAAAGCATAAGGGAAGAGCAAGAGGACGGAGTGGCCAGGTTTGTGGGATCGGGTGGTGCAGGACCACAACACCCCTTTCCCTCCCAACCTGAGCATGACCTGGAACCTTCCTAGTATTTAGAATCTTGTTTTGTAAGTCAACAAAGATGTTATATTTGGTCTGTTTAATGTACATTTAATGTTATAAATTTATGCCCAGAAAACTAAATATTCAGCTCTCATTGCTTAAAAAGGTGACAATTGTCTTACTACTTGCAACAACAAATTTATTTCAATGAAAAGGCTCATGATCATAAAGTGAAATGGAAAGTTTAACTTATTTGAGGCTGTCCTTAAAAACTAGGACCAGAGATATAGCTCAGCAGCATAAGCGCCAAACCTGATGTCGTGAGTTCGATTTCTAGTACCAAAAAATAAGTAAATAAATAAAAATAAAAAGCCAGAATGCCAATTTGTTTATTCACAATCTGACCTCTTGTCTGTGAAATAGATCTGAATAATCTCATCAAATAGTACATTCTCTCTGTCAACAGATCTAGGTAAGAAGTCAAAGATGGGGCCGGGGATATAGCTCAGCAGCATGAGCACCTGCCTAGCAAGTGCAAGATCCTGAGTTTGATTTCCAGTACAAAAAAAAGTCTAAGAACAAGGTAGACAGTTGCTTGGAATTTTTTTTAAAAAGGAGAATTTAGCTGAGTAATATTGATGCAGTGTTTCTTGGTCGCTATGCCACGGTAACCATCTACACTTACCCGCCTTGTGTGTAGTGAACTTGGACACAGGAATAGGGTGTTTCCATGGCCAGCTTAGTTGCTGTACCTGCTACCACTGCCTGCTTGTCCTGTTGCAGCTTTTAAGTAGTTAAGAAACATGCAGATATTCCAAATATAACTTCAAGAATTTTACCCAAAATGACTGGTTTTGACTTTAAATGAGCAGAGTATTATAACTTTTTTCGTATTTGTGTATGTTTGTGCAAAATTTTTCTTCTATTGTCTCTTTTTTTATCCTGTGTTTATTTTCCTAAGCTGCACTTACAAAAGATGCTTTGGAAAATGGATCTATACTATAACTAACAAAAATAAACTTTTTCAAACTAATTCCTGTCAGATCAGGCCAAGACCCAGCCGTGTTTCACTGGTCCTGACGCTGTGGAGCTGTAAGATGATTCCTCTCCCGGGAACGAGCATTCAGGTCCTCAGCAGGCATGTGCGCCTCTGTGTGTTCGACGGTAGCAAGGTGAGCTCCCAAGGACTGGGTTGGGGCGCACCGGGATGGTGGAAGGGCGTTTTGGTATGGGTAAAGCCTCATGGTACATACGTACTGCATGGAACAGTACCCTCTACTCCTCTCTCTCTGCCTGTCTCATCACACGTGTCCTGTATAATATGGTGCAGCCACCATGGTTCTGATGATGTAGGTCTCACCCCTGGCTCTTCTAGTGGCTAAGTGTGTAATGTTGGCAAATCAGTCACATCTACCCCATCTCAGCTTTGGATTGTTTTTCACTTTTAAAAGGCACTGATGTATATCTTCTAGTGTTGTACACAGTTCAGATCTTAGGTGTACAGTGTCATGTTTTTGACACATGTACACACCTGTTATGACCAACGCTGTCATCAAGATAGAGAGATTGTCATATGTTGTGTCTTTGTGTCCTTTTTCACTCAGCTTCTCCCTGCTTCCTGGGAGACTGCGTTTTGCACAGTACCAAACAAGTCTGAAGGGCATCTAGAAAATTAATTTATCTTTCACGAGGTACACCTTAAACAGTGCTTCAGTAGACATGTATAGCTCTAAACGCACATACTAGAAAGAAGGAAGGTTTAAAATCAATGAGCTAAACTACCAATTTAATAAAAATTGAAGCTAGAAAGAGAACAGTGAGTTAAAGCTGGAGAAAGGAGGAAATAATAAAGATAAGAGTAGTAATTCATGAAATTAAAAGCAAATAAAAGAAAAAAATTTTAAAAAATTGATTCTTGGAAGAGATTAATAAAATTGAAAGATGCCCACTAAGAGTGATCAAGAAATCTTTAAAAGAAAGAAAACAAGTTACCAGTATCTGACATAGAAAGAGAAACATTGTCACAGCTTCCACAGACATTAACAGTAAGGGTATATTCTAAATTTTCTGCTAATAAATTTGACATTGATGAAACAGATAATTCAGTAAAACACATAATTTACTGAAATTGGCATAATAAGGCATAAAAAAGTTAAATAACCTCCATTAAAGAAATTAAAATTGTAATAAAAAAATCTTTCCATAAAGAAAACTCCAGGCCCACATATCTTTGGTAGTGAATTCCTCCAAACATTTAAGGAAGGAATAACACCAATCTTATGCATCCTTTTCCAAAGAGTAGGTAAAGGGGAAATGCTTCCCGGCACATTTCATAAAGCCAGAAAAATGTGATACCAAAATATGACATAAAAAAATTTCAAGACCGGTATCCTTTATGGATATAGAAACTAAACCCTAGAAACTAAACCCTAGACAAAATATTATCTAATTAGATCTAGCAACATATAAAAAGGACAACATATCATAACTAGTTGGAATTTCTTTCAGGAATTCAAATGTATATACCTGTGTGTCCAACATTTAACACCTGAAAATCAGTCATTGTAATTTATTATTAATAGGACAAAAAAGAAAACTCATGTGAACATCTCAATAGAGGTAGAAAAAGCATTCTATATAGTCTATAGAAAAACATTTCAGTGCTCATTCATGATCTTTTAAAAATTCTCTACAAACTAGGAATAAAGGGAACTTCCTCAAACTGTAAACAGAAATAAGAAAAATCTAAATTTGCATCATCACACTTAACAGTGAAACATTGAACCATTTTTCCCTATGATCAGAAACAAGTCAGGGATGTCTGAGAAATAAAAAGACTTGGTTTTTTAAATGAGCAAGAGACTTGGACTTCAAGAAAAGAAAACCAATAAGACTATAAAAGACACTGACCATATAATAAGTGATCAGGGAAATGCACATTAAAACAGAGAGAGGGGCTGGGGATTTAGCTCAGTGGCACAGCGCCTGCCTGGCAAGAGCAAGGTCATGAGTTCGATTCCTGGTACTGGAAAAAAAATCCAAAAAAAAAAAAAAAAAAACACTGAGAGAGATCCAACTATATGCTGTGTAGGAAAAGGCACCTTAAATATAAAAATGTAGGTAGGTTAAAAGTAGGAGGATGGAATAGGATACACCATTCAAAAGACATTAACATCCAAGTACTTATTACATAAAAGTGAGAGAGATCATTCATCAAGGAGACATAACAAGCCTGACTCTGTACACAGCCAACATCAGAGCTTCAGGGTACATGAAATAAGCGTGGAGAACTGAAAAGAGAAATAGTCCAAGCCACAATTATAGTTAGGAACGTTAATACTTCTCTCTCAGTGATATAGACCAAACAGAAAATTAGTAAGGCTGTAAAAGAATCAAAAAAACATATCAGCTAATGAGATTGAATTGGTATTTGTACAATGCTTCACCTCAAAATAGTACAATATACTTTCTGTTATGTACATACGGAATATTCACAGAGACAAATGGGTGATCAGAAAACAAACCTCAACAAATTTGTAAGAGTTGAAACCCATAGGGTATAGGGTCTTTGAGCACATGGAAATAAATTAGACATCAATAACCAAAAGGTAAGTGAGAAAATCCTTAAATATCTGGACATTAGTAAGTTTCTAAATAATCAATGGATTAAATGGGAAATCAGAATATATTTGGTACTGTACCAAAAATAAACATGCAACGTATAGCCGTGAGATGTTCGCTACAGCACTGGTAGAGGGAAACCTTTAGTGCCAGACGCTTACGTGAGAAAAGAACCCGCAGGTCAGCAGTCAGAGCTGCCTCTCAAGGAAGCAGCGCTTGAGCCGAGATCCAAAGGGTGACCTGGTCTTGAGGGTGAAAGAGCCAGAGAGAGCATGAATAGCCCACGGGGGGCCGCGGGAAACTCGGCATGGCGGTCAAAGGACAGCAGTGTCGTCTTCAAGAGAACAGAACCTGCAACCGGTTTGCCGAAGCTTCACCTGGCTCCACCATGTGCTGGGTGAGGGGCTTTGAGCCAGTGACCGCACCGTGCCGTCTCACGGTGCACACCCTCACCCTGCACATCCTAGGTCCCGGGATGCAGGCGCAGCTCTTAGAACAGCGCGAGGGACACAGCCAGTGCCTGGGAGTGGGGAGGGACTTGGGGACGGGCGGGCTTACAGTCTAGAAGAGAGAGGCGGAGATGAGAGGTGTAAGAGGTAAGAATCCACAAAATTTGTGGTGGCTGACCTGGAGGGTGGAGGGAGCGCCAGGCGTTGAGCGTGACCCTGGGTCTCAGACTTCGCATCTGCTTAGTTGGTGGTAACCTCCAGCCGCACAGGCGGCGCTGGCGGAGGACCGAGTCCGGAGGCGTTGACGTGGGTTTGGTTTCGCTCATCCCAAGGGTACGCGTAGCTCTCAGCATAACAAGAATGTCTCTCTCTCTCTCTCCCTCCCTCCCTCCCTCGCTCTCTCTGTCTCTCTTTCTCTCTCTCTCTCTTTCCCCCCATCTCTTTCATCGGAACCTGGAGTAAATCATCATGATCCTCATTTCTAGTCTGCACAAAACTTTCTGCCATAAATGAGCCAATAGGTGTCGCCACTGACCAAGCGGAGATGAACTGCTCTCCTCTTCGGTCTCGTTTAACACTTTTGCTTATACTTCTCCTTGTTCTCATACACGAGAACATAAAACAGAGACTACAACTTGATTGTTACTAGCACATCAGAATAATACAAACTCATAGAAGTGAATTTATAAAAGTAATTTATATTCGATTTCTAAAGTGAAAAGTTACAGCACATACTTAGATGTTTCCTTGAGTGATTCTTTAATAAACATAAGCCTAGTTACAAATTAAAAGCACAGTTGTTAAAACTAAGTAATGAAACCCTACTTCCGGGACCAACCCGCTCCCAGCCACAGCATCTGAACCCTGAGCAGTATTTTTTTTTTTTTTTTGGTTTTTCTCCGGTACCGGGAACCGAACTCACAACCTTGCGCTTGCCAGGCAGGCGCTTTTGCCGCTGGTGAGCAGTATTTTTTTAAAAGGCAGCTACCTGAAAGCACTGCAAAGCATCTGGTAGGAGACAGACAGACATTGAAAGTGACATTGCATATTCTTAATAATTTTTGCAGCCAGGTGTTATGGCATA